ATCCAAACTTACTAATCAGCTTCCTATTCAAAGACTCTGGTCCAAAGACATGTGTGTGTCTGGTGTGTGATGTTGTGTGGACGAGCGGTTTTCTGATGTCAATGTTGTGGATTGAGTGGCCCATGGTGGGGTTATGGTAATGGCAGGCATCTGTTAGAGATGAAGAACACGGTCGTATTTTATTGATGGTATTCTGAATGCACAGAGATACCGCAACGACTTCCTGTGGCCCATTTTGTGCCAAATATCCAAGAACATCTCCTCATGTTGCAGCAGGCCCCATGTTGTGAGGAACTGTACACAATTCCTAGAAGCTTAAAAAGTCCCAGTTCTTGCATGACCCATGTTCTGGATCAGCATATATATACTAGTTCCTGCTTATATCCAGCAACTTTGCATAGCCATTGAAGGGGAGTGTATCAACATTCCACAGCCCACAAATGACAACCTGTTCCACTCGTTGCGAGATGTGACTTTTTGCTTGAGGCCAATGGTGATGACACCAGATACTGACTGGTTTCACACCCCATCCCTGAACCCCACACCCGGAACATTAAACAAAACTGTAGCTTTCAGAGTGCTCTTCTATTGTGGGCAGCCTAAGGCTCGGCATGCACTTTATGATTTTTGCCCTTTCCGGGCCAAGTATTTTTTTTAATTGGGCCGAGCTTCAGCCTAATAGTGCATCCTGTGTCTAGTATACAGGGGGTTACAGGGGGTAACGAGGCGATCAGCCTCTCACAACCACCTACCAATCAGGAATCATAAAGTCAAAAGAAAATCAAACATGTTTGAAATTCAGTAGGCCCTCCTAAGGTGTCTGTGAACAATTGCTGTTGTTGAAGCAGAGCTACAAGTGTCTATGAGCCTAATTAACCAGAACCTCACACACTGCACATCTGCAAATAAAGGAGTTCTTCTTCTTCCTGATGGAGTCTGTCCAGTTCCATCTATCAGCGCTGAATCCGACATGTGGTTTTTGGACATGCAGTGTGAGCAGGTACTGTAGATCGCATCAGAGTTTTAGGCTGTACAGTTTAAGAACATGCATTGTGAGCTGTGAACTTTTAAACTCTGATTTCATTGTGCACTTTGAGCTGTAGCTGAGTGCAACGATTGAAAATATCGTAGAGTGTACGCCTGGCCTAAGGCACTAATCGTGGTGTCTAATCAGCATCTTGATATAGCACACCAGTGAGGTGGGATGGATTATCTCAGCAAAACAGAGGTTTCACAGATTTAGGCTGGTGGTAAAGAATATTTGAGGAAAATGGTTATATTGTGTATGTGGAAAAAGTTTTAGATCTTTGAGTTCATCTCATAAAAAATGGCAGCAAAACCAAAAACGATGCATTTATATTTTTGGAGTGTATATTAAAAATCAGTGTCATTATTTCTATTTTTGTATTATTTTTATTGAGTATTACTTTTAACATTTTTCCATTTATTTTACTTGCAGCTGATTTTTTTTCCTCTCTTTAAATTAAGGGGAAGTAAACTTTCAAGCATAACTGTTCCTGTCTGCGAGGGACTATCTAACTCCTTGTATCCTCCTGCATTTATGTAAAGCTCATACTCTAACATCTGAAGTATTGCTTTAATGCAAACAGTTTGAAATGTAACTATTTTATCTTTGGTAGAAACAAATAATAAAACTATAGCAAAACATAAAAAAAGAAATTTTGATACTTTGGATTTTCTAAAGCCTGTGTGCCATCTGGATTCATTGCTTTCTAAGACCACATTCCAGAACAATACCTTTTGATTCAGGATGGGTTTGAGTCGTTAAACTGCCATATGTGCTTACCTGACAGGAAAGGTTTTATAAATAGTACTGTAGAGCCACAGTGATCTGTAGCGGCTAACAAAAACCTGATTGCTGAGCCCTTTCAGGACTGCAAGACTTTTTGATGTATTATTTGCTATGAAAACTAGAAACAAGGATATGTTAAAAAAAATAAGAACAAAATATCACTGTCTTCAAATCTTAATACGATTTTTGAAAATGAATTACTGAAAAAGAGACCCTTGCATTAGCAAAGACATACTGTAAATGAAAGTGACCTCAAGTGCTTATATAAACTTTAAAGAAGCATCAGACGTTGGTTTGTTTTTGGTTTTCCAAAAACACAGTCTGGCTGCTTCTGATTTACACCAAGTTGTGTGGTAACAGGTTGGCAGAGGTTGGGTGGAGGTTTTATGAGGACCCAAATGCAGAGATCAGGAGGCAGAGTTGAGTCTTACAGATTTAATAAGCAAATGAGGCAGAAGTACAAAAATACAGAGAACCAAAATGTCAGGGAAAACTCACATGGGGAACCAGAGATGATGAAGCAACAAAACAGCAAACCAGCACTGAGTATACATATTGTGTATATATACTGTTTATATTGGGATACTGAACAAAGACAAGCTAATCAGCAGATTGGGAGCAGGTGTGGGCAAGACCAACTAGGAGGAAGCCAAGGGGAAAAGCAACAACCACAAGGGGCCACAGAGGGAAACTAAAGAACTCAGCACTGATAGAAATAAACTACAAAGACACAGAAACTTAAAAATAAACCCAAGCAGAGGGCAGAACCCTGACAGTAATATTATTTTTAAAAGCATCATTAACCACAGTACTTTTTTTGCTTTCATTTTGCTTTCAGGTTTTTATTATTAAACTGTCTCATCCATTGAGATTCATTGGATCTGAGAAATTTGTCTTTCTGTCTCACATAGCATTTCAATAAAGAAATGTTTGGAAAAATATGTAACTTATAAATACAAGTGTGAATGTTGTTATTACAAATTGAAACCTGTATCATAACTACAGAGAATTACAATGTCCACTGAAAATAACAAATAAAACCTTTTAAAGCTAAAAAATTAGTAATGTAAAGGGGGACTAAGCAAACACAGGCTGAATTGTTTATGTTTGCAGAATCTTGCAATCAAAAGAGATGACATATAAAGTAATGATTTGTAATTGTTTGTTCCTGGAGTATGAAAGCAGAATGTTAACATTCAAAAGTTTTATTCTGCTCTCACAGAAACCAGTGCTTGCATCTGTTATGGGCTGTCTGTGTAAACTTCCGTCTTTGGAGACACTTCCTTTCTGTCTTTGTCTGCGGTGTGAGAGCAGCAGGTTCAGGTTAGCTTGTCAGAATATACAACAGCCAAACCATGTGAATATAAATCAGCTGTTATGCAACAGGCCGGCCACCAGACAGTGGCTGCTCTGTGCTGCTTTCACTGCATTCGAATGAATCTCAGCTCAGGGGTCCGGGGCCACTGCACAGGTCTTGCTTCTCCTTGAACCGTTTCACAGATTGTCACATCTAAACATGAATGCGGTCATTTGGGATTTAAATAACAGATAAACACAAAGTATTCCATTATGATGATGTGGAAGGAAAAGTATGGTTATGTTCACAAACTAAAATAAAATCATTTGTATTCAGCCCTTTTAACTTTTCTGTACTGTATGTACTTTTCTTTCTCATTTACAACACTTTAAATTGTCTTGCAATTAAAATGTTCAAGATAAATTAACTTGCCTAGTTAAACTCTAGTCTACTCAGCTGCTTTAAAAGCTCTTTTACGGGTTAATATAGTCCAATGGTTTCAAGGTTTACTCTGGTTTAAATGTAGTTGTTTTATAAAAGCCTCGCAGGTTGACTAGAGAAGGTTAAAAAACAGAATCAAAAGCTAAAAATGATTCTAATGCATGATTATGAATAAGGATCTTGTATAGAAAAAACGACACATTTAGGAACAAAAAACCTCAATAGTGCCCTCTTTAAATCTATTAGCTTTCTGCAAAGGTTACAGACACTCAAACAAAAATTCTATGCTAATATATCATTTAATTCTTAAAAAGGAGATTCTAATTAGTTACATAAGAAATTTGGAAAACTACATGGAGAATTGAAAACCTATTATTCCAGTGTTCATCTTCTAGAAAATCTGTTCTCATTTACATGACTGGTTATCACCCAAACTTTTAAACATTCCATATTTTCAATTTCTACATGCAATCTACATTAACGGTTTGTAAATATAAATGTCAAAAACATTCAGACTAATAATTAAAATGAAAAAAATATATATATATAAAAATAATATGTTATTTGCCTATATGGGGCTAACATAGATTAACCACATTTAGAGCTATTTTTCTGTAGTAAGTAGGTGCGATTGCATCAGCAGCAACACTACCATGCGTATCTGAGTTGCCTTCACGGTCATATGGGGCATAAAACTGAAATTTATTTGAGTCTCACAATACAGGTTATTTGGCAAAAATATTATCAAAAGTGCTTAATCTGATAATAATCTTATATTATGAACTGTTTAATTACGTATATACATGTTCTACATCTACAACTCTATTCAAAAACGTAAGCTACAATGAATATTTACGGAAGTCCTTGAACGTCACACACATTATAGAGAAATGTACAATGGCTGTACAGCAGCCAACCAAACTGTACAGGGAAGCAAAAGCCATAAGAGCGTCGAGGATGGTCGCCATATTGTGAGGGGCAGTTACTTTTGAACCCATAAAAAAGCCATGCAGATTTCTGTTTTCATGTTTTTCTGTATGACACAAAATTGTCTTCACATGTTTTATGCATTCAGATATTAAACTGCAATCAATGTTGGAAGAAAGCTGTCTCAAATAAGAAATAAGAAATGTTTAAGCTAAATAATACTTTCCTACTATTCAGTAACCACAAAATGCTGCCAAGCAGAACCGAGTTTAAGAATGATGATGATGATGATAACTTTTTTTTTTTTACTTGAAATCACTTTTATTGAAATTTGAAGTTACAGAAAATATATCACCAGTCATCAAAATCAATTAAATGTGAAGTAGAGTGCTTGTTTAATTCAGAAAACCGACTTGTGACCATCCCTGCAGCGAAATTGCCACTCGCAATGTGGCGAAGAATGACGTCGCCTCGCGTGCAGGTCTATTATGCCACCTCCGTCGTCTATTTGCTGGATGTGACGTAGGTGGGGGAGACCGGAGCGAGCGTGAAGCATCTAAAAACCGGTTTGTCCATCAGGAGGAAACCAGAACTACGCTGGGAGACCCAACGAAACGCGGAACAACCTGTCCAGCTCACCTTCCATTTTCATCATGTCTGAGAACACCGCAGGGTGAGGAACTAACTGTTTATAGTTATTCTGGTCCGCCTCTAACGGTATTAATAAACTGAACCTGGACTGTTAGCTATAGTTTAGTAATAAACGGTCTGGTCTGAACTGTTAGCTAATCTCCATCCGCGTGAAAAAATGGCTAAAACTGATTTTTCTTGCTTTTATTGTGTGATGACGGTTTGATGCCTTGATGAAGAGGAGAAAGCGGTCCTCTTTACATCGTTAAAGTTAGTAATAGAGCCCTTAAACACGTGAAGCGGCTTCAGTTTGTAATTAAACCAGAAAATAACCACGCTCCACTGCTAAACGTCAGTTATAACCCACCGACTCATCACCGGCTTGCGTGTTGACTGTGTTCCCGCCCTCTGTGTGCCAGATGCGGCCACATGTGGCACAAAGAAGGTGGTGAATGAGTCACAGCTGGCAGAGAGTGGAACTATGTGGGTTCTACTCTCTGTGATCAGTCACTGACTGAGAGCACGTAGCACTGAGGGTGGAGGAGACAGAGGCATCAGATCTGAGGAGTAATTAAACTAAAACAATATTCAGATTATTGCTATTCTATTTTAATTATGTAATGATTAATCCTCCCTGTTTTAAGGCATAGTGTAAAGTCATACAATTAGCTTTTAGATGATGAGATGAGTTAATGTTCAGGTTTGGGTGTGAAATTGCTTAAATCTTTTGTAAATTTAGATTGAAAATAATGTTTTAGTTGTTATTTACTTTTTATTTATAAATAGCTTAACAGTCTACCAGAGTAAATTATAAAGAAAAAATGGTACCAAACTGTTATCCTGTTTTATTACAAATCTCTAATCAGGGACTAGAATATTCAGGTTTTGTTGGCTCAGTTATGTCAACATGAATAACAGATTGCTTTTAGTTTTTAAATGATAATGATCAAATAATTTATTTTTAATGCACTCTACTTTTAACACAAACCAGTGTAAAACATAAATAATTTAATGACATTATTGGACAGTTTGAAATTCTTAGGGAAGTCATATTTAAATGTCAAATAATTCTGGCTTTAACATGTATATAAATGTAAAATTAGAAAATTTCT